GGAACCAGAATAACATTATTTTCTAAATGCCAAAGATTTGGGGGGGACGGGACTCCCCCCCAAAACTTTTCATATGATTTAGTTTTTTTCACTGCTACTAAACTTTTTATTTAAGGTAATGAACCTTTAAGCGTACTATGACTAGAAAAATCTCCACTGGCTAAAAAGAAGATGTCTTCAGTTTTGTAACTACTTCAATTTTAATAAATGGTGGTAGTATACTTCTCAAGTAAATTTTCTGACTCTATGCAATAGTGCCAAACCTAATAGCTTAAAGTCAGGATCCAAAAATCTTGCTAAAAGGAACTTCTCTTGAGTTTCTCTCTGGGGAGTGAATTTCTGTATTTCCTATATGAGTAGGAGGGCTCCTAGCTTTCCCTTTCAGCTGAAATTCTCAGTTAACTTTGAGAACAAGAGTTTGATTCTAAGAAAAACCCAGCGAACTGGATTTACAAAAAATATTTCCACAGTTAGCAGCAGTACAGATATGTGATGATGATTTTGAAACTGGATGACAAAACTGGAGACAGAGGTGGCCAAAATGACTTAGAAAAGGAAGGTCAATTAAAACCTGTTACATGTATTGTTATTTATAGCCAGAGCCTCTATAAAAATGAGCATTTCATTTTTTGAGGTGAATATGTTGAAACTTTTCTCTGCAGAATACATTGAGAATATATGTGCTCTGTGGGAGTTTGGAGGATCTTGGATTTTGAACTTTTGTAAAAAAGTACTTATCACATTGAATTTCCATTTCTATTTCTAGTATGCTACCAGTGTCATGCCTTTCCCTTGAGGTTTTGGTCGATCTTAAGACAAGTGATACAGAGAGAGGGTGTGAGGTGCTGTGAGGGACCCTTGGAGGTCTGAGGATGAAAAGCAGCCATGATAAAAGCCTGTCAGTCCCCTAAATACCAGAATTGCCGATTGTTTGCAGCTCCGTTTCAGATCTGGGTTCCACTAGTAGAAGAACAGATCCCTTTGCCCCTCTTCCTGCCTTTGAGAGTGGTTTGCAACACTACGTGTTTTCTCCAGCTAAGCAGACTGAAACAAAACATGGGAACAGACCTGGTCATTTTATATCCTGAGTTACCTGGAGATAAATACTGTAATCAAAGCAAACTCCCATTCCATTACTGTTATCCACTGTTTTATATGGCAGTATTACAGACGGTTAATTATCATTTTACTAGATTCATTCTCTGTTTAGAGCACATCAACCTCTGCTGTTTGTAACAGTGAACACAGAGGTGTGTACTTTATCTTTCGTGTGAGTGCAGAGTTTGGCTCCAGCGATACATGCAGTGAATAGTGGCTTTCCTGCATGAAGAGTATTGATTAGCCATGAGCTGGAGTCTCTTTTGGGTAATTCTATACGTAAAGCTGTGATCTCAAAAAATTTACCTCGCAGGCTGTCTGACTTCAGCTTCTAGGTTTGAAATGCATGGCTGAACAGCTTCTCATAGTCAAATCACTTGGTAGCTCTGATCCCTGCTAGGGTGTTTTACACTCTTCTCTGATTTTCTGTCTTAGGTCATATCAGAAGTCTTGGTGGAACTTTTGGCTTAGGAGGACACGTGGGAGCGGGAATGAAAATATGTCCCCAATATACTAAATTGTGGTGCCAAGGTGTGCACGGTCTCAGAATGCACTTCTTTCATTCTTTTTCATATATAGCTTGAGATTTCAAACAGCAAATACTTGAAGGTTTGAATGTATTCCCACTGAAGAAACTGCATATTCTGCAGCTCCACTACAAGTTCTTCTAGGGCAAGCATATGTTATCGCAACATACTTAGATGTGCGTTTACAGCTTTTAACTCACTGAACAGTGATGCTTTTTTTTTCTTTTTTTTTTTTTTTTTTCTCCTTCCTTCCTTTAAACTAGCTTAGTGTCTTAAAAATTCAGCAATACTTACTAGGGCTAGGTGGCTCATGATTGTGTGAAAAAATTATTTGCTGAAAAATGTGCCTTTATTCTTTACAAAGCAGACCTGAATTTGCCAATTGTGGACTATGACCCCAGCTACAAAATCATTCTCAGGATTCAGGAAATTAAATTGAATTTCATCTCCTGAGAGTGCATGTCTGCATTCACTTCGACCTCCAGAGAGGGACTTAACCAGCACACTGTGGAATTCCAGTATGCAACCTCTCCTAAATCTTTTCTGCCAGTAGTCCTACTTTTTCTATACAATTATTATATGATCTCATAGCAATCATTTCTATACTTAGGATGGTTCTAGCTATTATGCTTTTCACACTGAGTGGAAGAACATCAGGGCTGAATCCCTTCAGACAAAAAGGCAGCTGAGTCAAAATCTTCTATATGCTGGGTAGGTTTCCTAACCCTGGATGACAAGCTAAAAAAATAAGTGGAATTTCTGACAAAAAGATCAATGCCCTTTGGTTTTGTGAATACTTCTAATCTTTTGGTGGATTCAGCTCTTGAATACAACCCCAAATTTTTTAAGATTTGGTTGAACTGAATACCTTCTTGGTTAGCTGCAACAATCAAAAAGTGTAACTGCTTGCATAGCCTTTTTGGTGGTCTTCCATGTCATCCTTACAGCCTGGCAGGGGTGAAAAGAAAACAATGAAGTATATCCTTTGACACTAAGACAATAGAGCAAAGCCTTGCACATGACACTCTCGTAAGCAAGATTAGTTTATGTAGGTCTTGCAACTCTCAGGGTGAGTGCAAAATTGTCTGGAAACTACAGAAAGAGCGAAGTATCAACGACTCTCTCCCAAGTGTGGCAGGATACATTTTGCATTGCTCCATAAGGATCTGTCCTGCATCTGAACACACTAAAGTTCTTGCTAACAGTCTGGATTACAGAATACAAATTGTTTATTAAATTTGTATATGACAGTGGAAGATAGGCTTAAATTCAAAGTGATTTTGACAAAGTGGATAAATATTCTAGAAAAAAAGAAGATGATATTCAATAGAGACAGTGCAAAATGGAGAAGTATTCAGCCTTAAAGATAGAAATAGGAACAATGAATTAGGCGGTAGTTACTTCGAGGGAAACAAAACCAACCAGAACTTAAATTGTATCCCAAAACGGTCATTAGTTAACAGCCTGCTGCTGTTACAACCAAAGCTTGCATTCCACTTGGAACCATGGAAAAAGAGTATACGCTGTGACACACGCACAATTATCCATCTTTTCTCATAAACGCTTACAAGGTCCCAAGTAGCATATTACATCCAGCTTTGGACACCGCACTTCAAGAAAGATACAAATCAGTTGAAGACAGTCCTGCGGTAAGAGTCATCAGCTGTTGAGATGTCCTGGAGTGCCTATGGAACAGTATCTGGAAGTGGGCTTTAACTATGTAAAGACTGAGGGGAATACTCTGCTTTCTGTCTCTGGTGGCTAATGTAGTACTCTGAAATCACAGCAAGGAAGGTTCAAGTTAAACATTAAAGAAAAGTTTGTAACTGCAAGTCAGAACAGATTGCCTGAGGAGGCTGTAGCGGTGCTATCGCTGGAGGACTTCAGAATGGGTTAGACAAACACTTGTCAAGAATGACATAGATGTAGCTGATCGTGCCTTGGGGTAGAGCCACAGAGGAGCTGACCTCGCAAAGTCCCTTCCAGTCCTACTTTTATGTGAAGAGCATTATGCTGCTTCCTCCCACCCCACCTTCAGCGTTCAGAGTTCTTCTGTTCCTCCCACAAGCTTTCCTTTATCTTGAGCTACTCTCCTAAAAATAACCTTTAACTGCCTCTTTTACTATTTTATGCATGTGTAGAAAATGCTTTCTGCACAAGGCAGTTCTGTGGATGGACAAGATCGATCTCACCTGTGAAAAAGGACAGGACTACCTCTCACCATTTGTAGAGATGAACTTTGGTTACGGGAAGGGGATTCTCACTGCAGGGTTTAGACCTAGACATTCAGAAATACCTTAGCCACCTACAGAAATATGGACTGTAATTGAAGGCATAGCTTTTCTACGCAGGGCAGAAAAAAAGTAACTTAGATATACACCTTTATTTTTCAGTATTCATTCTAGACACATTAACGTTACGAGTCTGGTACACGTTTTCCCAGTTTGATGTGACAAAGCTGAAAGGGCACTAGGTCCTAAACCCAAGGGTCCTCCTGTTTTGCTGAGGGGAGCTAGTTTGAGACGGAAGAGTAACCGCACCACGTAGTCAGAACGAGCAGCTGAACTCAGACCAGAAGCCCAAACGGCTCTGATGCAACAAGCAGGGTAGAGGCGAGAACCGGAGCGACACCGCTTCGAACATCTCCTTCCCTCGGTGGTCCTCCCGACGCGGGGGGTGACCTCAGCCCCCGC